GGTACATTCAGTAGGCAAAATATATTTCACAGGGAAAAGAAGCAGTAAGCTTGAAGATAGAACATTACAAATTTACCAATCTGGAAAAAATAAAATTACCTGAAGAAACAAATTAAGGAAGAAAGTGTCAGGAGTCCCTAGAACAAAGATATTTTATATCAACTTACAGTTACCTCACAGGGCAGAGAAAAACTGCCCCGTGGGTTTCCTAGACTGAAATCTTTATGGATATAAACCAAAACCAATCCCATCGTCACCCAGTCCATTCTGACTCTCAGACACCATTCGTTTCCAAGGCTGCATTCTGGTTCTGGCGGCCTATTGTGTAAGAAGCTGACTGCCTGGAATCCACCAGCTGCTCCTCTGGAGAAAGATGGGAATTTCTCCCCCGTGCAATTTACAGCCTCCGAAAACCCACTGGAGGTTCAGCTACGGATCAGTTCTGACTCAACAGCAATGAGCTGCTTTGTGTGAATCTTTACAGAAAACCACCTCTTTCTCCTGAGGAGCCACTGGTTGACTTGAACTGCTGGCCTTTTACTTAGAAGTGAAACACCCCAGCGGTCACAGTTCGATTAAGCCAGGTGCTCTGCTGGAGAAGGAGGGACAATCTCCTCCTGTACCAGTCAGATCCGATTTGACGGTACACACACCAAATTAATAAAATAAAATTTAAAAAAAATTAAAAAGTAGAAGTGAAATGCATAACATACTATGCCACCAGAATTCCTTTTAACAATGAAAAAGAAATTATAAATAACATTTGTTTTTTTGGGGGGATGCTTCTGGCTTTAGTAATTATGATTATTTCCGAAATCATAACAAAAGCAATGATCCAAACTCATTTTTCCACATTTCAATTGAAAGCATAACTCACCTGCCCTAGATCCAAGGTGACATTGACCTTGTTGTACTGTGTGCCTGAAGAGAGAGGAGGACTTTGCCACCAGCGTTCGCTTCCATCGATTGCATTGGTTATTGGATGTGCTCTTCTGGGGTCTTCAGAATTGCAAAAATCACAGAACTGGCCCTGGGAGGAAAAGGGTTGAGGTTATTTTTCATTTTCAAGTAATTGTTGTTGTTGTTGACTGCCTTCGATTCAAGCATGACTCATAGCGATCCTATGAACAAAAGGCCTGAAGCTCCTCTACTTACTATCAATTTACTTAAAAAAAAAAGGTAACAAAAACAGAGACTATTTGATACAGCTTTGAGATGCCAGCTATTGAAAGGCATCATCATAATATATAAATAATATATCTAAAAATGCCAATAAGGCTTTCTTGTTTTCATTTAATCTGAAATTTTGTCATCCATTTATATTCCTGTTAATTACACTTATCTTCCATTTTTACAGTTAAGTTTTTCTTATACTATATGACAGTTTCAAAACAAGATTATTGTACTTGGAATTTAAAGACGTTTTCATTTGGAATTCTTTTCTTCTCCTCAAGCTTGTTTTGGGCTAGTCTGTGTGAGCATGAAGGTACCAAGAAGACTTCTGTCCACAGTTTCAGTCAAGGCCTTAGTGGACAATATCCATAAAGTGTGGCCAGTCCTTGGGATAAGACATCAAGCAGGGAAAGGTGGAGGGTCAGAAAATGCAAAGAAGGGCCTCTACAAGATGGGCTGACACACTGTTACGATGCACTTGAGCTCATCCCAGGTGATAAGAATGGCACAGGGCAGCACAAGGTTAAGATCTGTTGTTCATAAGGTCATTACAAGACATAATTGACTCAACAGCCCCTGATAACAAAAAATGTGGTAAGAGAGTGCCCTAGTAGAGGAGAGAGTGGTGGGGCTCAAGATCAGCAGATAATCCATGGAGCTCAGAAAAGACAGGTGTAAGAAAAGGAATTTAAGTCAGACTCTGATGGAATATAAGGAGCCATGTTGGCTTACTGCTAACTGGAAGGTCAGCAGTTTGAATCCACTAACTAGCTTCTCTTGGGAAGAAAGATGGGAAGTCTCCTCCTTAAGATTTACAGCTTAGGAAAGCCCATGGGGGTTTCACTATGTATTAGAAATGAATCCATGGAAGTGGGGGTTTTTTTATTTGTGAAGAAGGCTGGATAGGACTTTGATGCATGGCAGTCAGTGGCTAACAGGGGAAGCATTCTAGATGGAGGGCCCATCATGAGCAAAGGCACAGAGGCCATTTGATCCAATCTGACAACAGTGTGAGTCTCAAAAGACAGATGATAAAGATAAAGGGGCTGTGAGAAGTTAGAAGTTAACTCAGTATGTAAGTGGGATTCCATTTTTACTGCAGCGAGCATTTGCTTGGTTTTGTAATCTCTAACTTCTCACGAAATGACTCTTGAAGAGAATCAGGATCGACTCACAGCTTGCCCTCCAGTGTTTTTCAGAGGCTGTAAATTTCGTCAGAGGAGACTGACCATCTTTCTATCTTGGAGCAACTGGTGGATTTGAATTACCTACCTTTGGGTTGGCAGCACAGATCTTTAACTTCTAGGTCATTAGAGCTCCCTGTCTTTGTGCGTAGGTAGATTATTTCATTCATTCATCCTTTTTTTTAAATGAAGACTTTTACAATTTTAAAAAAGTTTAACAGTGGGGTTTCTCTTACATATTAAGTATCTTATTTATTTGTGAATCTTATAATTAATTATTCATTCCCCAACATAACATTCAGGTTCAGCTACTCACATATATTATTTTATTTAATACTCACCATGAAGTAAATAAAGGAATTGTCAGACACAGAAGAATTTCATGAAACAACCTATGAGCAAGAGCCTGTGGTGATGAAGGAAGAAGTTCAAACTGCCTTGAAAGAATTAGCTAAAAATAAGGTCCCAGGAAATGATGGTATACTAATTGACATATTTCAGTTAACAGATGCTGCCCTGAATGTGCTCACCAAGTTGTGCCAAGAAATCTGGAGGACAACCACTTGGACAACCAACTGACTGGAAGAGATGTATATCTGTTTCCAATTCAAAGAAAGGTGATCCCACAGAGTGTGGAAATTACCGAACACTATCATTAATATCACATGCAAGCAAGATTCTGCTGAAGATTATAAAAAAATGACTGGAACAGCACATCAGCAGAGAACTGCCAGAAGTTCAGGGTGGGTTTAGAAGAGGTAGTGGTACTAGGGATATTGTAGCTAATGTTAGATGGATCTTGGCTGAAGTAGAGCCAGGTCATGATCCCGGAGCTCTAAGGATGGTATTTAAATCGGCTACTCTGTCTTCTCCCACTCAGAAGCTACAACTTGGTTTTATTAGCCATCCTTCAGATCAGTAACATATTTATTATTTCCCAGAACTAGTCTTAAATGCCAAGGATGACACGCAAATTCATGAAGCATTCCATATTTTTAGAGTTTAGACCTATTGTACATAGGGTCGCTATGAGTCTCAAGTGACTTGACGGCACATAACAACAACAACAACAGTCTTAAGTGCCAGGGGAGGTCTGGGTAGCATAACGGTAGGAAGCTACACTGCTATCCTGAAAGCATATGGTTCAAATCCACCAGCTTCTCCACAGGAGAAGGATGGGCAGTTGCCTCTCATGCAGTTTACTCCTCAGAAAACCTGTGAGAGGGTCAGCTAGGAGCCAGTTCCATCCTGACAGTACACAGCAAGTCTTCAATTGGGGTCTCTGGGTGGTGTAAGTAGTTAAGCATTCAACTAATACAGCAAAGGTTGGTAGCTCCAATCCACCCAGAGGTGACTTGAAAAGCTGTCTTGGGAAGACGGAGGGCTTCCCAAGGTCACAGCCTTGAATAGCCTTTAGAGCAGTTCTACTTTACATACATGGTGTCACCTTGAGTCAAAACTGACTCAAGGGTGATTAACAGTGACAGACTTCAATAGCAGCCTTCACAAGGAAAAGAAGCATGGTTTAAGGCTCTTGGATGTGAAATACCCTCATCATGCTGGCTAAACAGTCCAGTATTGCTGATGCTCTGAAGGAAACTGCTCCTATCATTTAGCACAATGCGGAAGAACACTCAGAACCAGCTAACTGTGTGAGCAAGGGCAAGATACCCGAACATAAAGGTTGAATGTGAAATATCCATAACCTGAATATTTAAAAGGGATATATGATTAGGTATTATTATCATGACAGGAGTCCAGAATGAAGGCTGCTGCATAGTAGAGTGGACTTGGGGGGAGGGATTGTATAACAATGAAAGAATTTTTCTTTTATTTTCAAAGAGAAGAACGAATTCTAGGGGAGGGGTGGGCAAGGAGAAAAGTGCAACAATGAATGAACGGAATTCCAAAATCTCTGTAAATTTTCATTAAAATTAATAATAATTTTTTAAAAAATAAAATAAATTTAGACACAAAAAGAAGCATTTCAATTTTTCAAGTTGATGTCTTCCAACACTGACACGTGCAAGGTTGGTCACATAGTAGATACACAAGCAAAAAGTGAATTACTAGCAGAAAGCTTTGCCTAGGCAGCAAAAGTGAGCGTTCAATTATTCAGCCATGTACACAATGAGCCTGTACTGATCACCCACTCTACCAGATGCTGCTCCAAACTGGGAGATGAGAAAAAAGAAAAATGAACAGGGCAAGACACTGCTATTCTAAATAGTGTTCTAAGCTGTTACTGAACTAGTCTTAGGAGAAATAGCAAGTCTAAAAGAAAAGACTAGAAAGAAAGCAGGTACAACTACTCAAATAAACAACTAAATAAAGCAGAGATTCAAAGTCCCCCAGAGGGTAAGCCATTGTTTTCTCAGAGGCTCATGGAGTTATTTATGCTTTTGGTGAACTGAGAAAAAAAATGTTCTTCCCTACTTCTTAACCTATGTGATTCTTTCCCTTAATAAAAAAGCTTCTTATATGTAAACGCTTCTTATACTTTACAACTGAACTCCTAATAGAAATACTGTATTGTTTTCAGAAACCACAGGTTGATGAGGGCAATGTTCCCTAACATAAAAACTATTTTATTATTTAAATACTCGTCCATTTATTCAACTTTTCTGAAATTGCCTTCTGAGTGTTGAATGAGGAAGAAAACCATGCAAACTAACCATTAGACCCTTCCTCAAAGAAATACAGTGGGAGAACAGAAAAAGAAATCAATGATCACTCACTGCTTGCTTTTTTTTTTCTTTTTTTTTTTAAAGAAAGCTAAAGAAGCTTTATTAAGGGAGCTCTCGGGCGGGATCCCTTGGTCTGGAGAGAGAGAGAGACCAGGTGAAAAGCGCAATGGTTTCATTTTTTGTTTGCTGTTTTGTTTACTGAGGTGAAAAGTATGTAACAAAATTAGCTGTTTTAAGATGAAAGATTCAGTGACGCGTAGTGTTGTGCCACCATTACAAAAGAAAACACACAACAAACAAACCACTAGTGCTGAGATATAAGGCTTTCAATAGCTGAGATCTTCCAGAAATAGATCACAGGGTCTTCCCTCCCCAGGCACTGCTGGAAAGACTCACCTTCTAGTTAGCTGCCAAACGCTTAATCACTTGAGTCACCCAGGGACTCCATGCAACCACCACCTCTATCAAATCCCAAAATATTTTCATCGCCCCAAAGGGAAACAACACACCCATTAAACCACTTCACATTTCTTAATGTCCTGCATTTTATAACAAAACTATTCAAGACTTAAAGATGAAGAATCAAAGTCTTTAAGAAGTAACGTGCCCAGTCTGAACCCACATGGCTGGGACAAAGGTGAGACCTGGACCAGTGTGGGTCTGGTGACAAGACCAACAAGCCCCTTCCATCCTGGCAGGGCTGTGCTGGTAAGTGACATCAAAGGACCTGCTGGAGAGCTGGACACAGTGTGGAGACGTGATTCTTCCACAATCATGTGGTTTTCCAAACACCTGCCCACTCCCAGATGTGTGGAAGGGATCCAGCTCAGGAAAGAGGATCTGGCAGATGTGTAAAGTTCAGCAAACCTGGTAAGACTAGCACTTAATTCCACTCACCCATCATGGCCCCAACACATGTAACCAATTTCTGCCGTCATGAGGCCTCACCCACAACCATTGCTCACAGAGGTTCTGGATACCATTCC